AACCTATGAACCAGGAGGCCATGGTTCAAATGCTGGTCAGGGCACATGCCCCGGCTGCAGGCTCAATCCCCTGTGGGGGGCGTGCAGGAGGCAGCTGGTCAATGATTCTCTATCATCATTGATGTTTCTCTCGCTCTCCTCTCTTCTGCTCTGACATAAATAAAAGACATATTTAAAAAATAATAATCCATTAGATCTACATGTGATGTTATAGGACAATCTCTAAGGTATATTGTGTAAAAAGCAAGGTGCAGCACAGTGAATACAGCCTGCTAAGCTTTTTCTGCTGCAAAACAAAACAAGGATATCTGTTCCTACATGCTTCTATCTGCATGTAATTGCTTTGGAAGGATATGTAAAAATCTCGTTAATGATCTAGGGAGGAGGATTAGAAGTTAAGTTTAAGAGGGATATTTTTAAAAATATATGTCTTATTGATTTCAGAGAGGAAGGGAGAGAGAGAGAGAGATAGAAACATCCATGATGAGGGAGAATCATTGATCGGTTGCCAGGGAGACTTACTTTTTATTGTATACCATTGTGCATTATGTGAATTCTGTTTTTACCTTGAGCACATGTCAGTTCTAAAGTAAATATTATAAAACCACCTTTGCTTTAAAGGAGAGAGAAAATGGGAAGGACCCAGATGAACAGGACAGGGAAGGGTAGCCAGTACTGAGGGCAGCAGGAGATGGGGCTAAAGACAAGGGGACAGATGGGCTTTGGGTGGAAAAGCACAGGCCTGCTGGTGATGGGAGGGAGGGCAGAGAGGTGGGACAGGACACCCGGGGCGAGTGTTGGGTACCAGGAAGATGGGCGAGTCCACTACTCTTGCTTTTCTCTGGAAAGTGAAGAGCAAGGTCATCTGCTGAGGGAGGCAAGGAGAAGGCAGCAGAATCCTGGGGATGAAGGGAAAGCAGGAGGTATGAAACAGCCCTTGGGATTCTCTCTGTTGGGGGAGAGAAGGAGGGAGGGAATGGGATCAATGAGAGTCTTCAATTTGATTGGTAATATTTCTAAGGTGGGTGCTGGGTATACAAGACTTTGCTATATCCTTCATTATCCCTTTTAAATTGTCTGACATCAAAATCATTAGGGCCCAGCCAGTGTGGCTCAGTGGTTGAGCATTGACCTATGAACCAGGAGGTCAGGGTTTGATTCCCGGTCAGGGCACATGCCCGGGTTGTGGGCTCGATCCCCAGTGTGGGGTGGGCAGGAGGTAGCCGATCCATGATTCTCTCATTGTTGATGTTTTTATCTCTGTCTCTCTCTCTCACTCTCCCTTCTTCTTTGAAATCAATAAAAATACATTTTTAAAAATATTTAGGAGGCTGGGAGATGGAGTTAACCAGAGATGAGCAGGGTCTTGAGGGCCTGCCTGAGATGGGAGAGTGCAAATGTATGGTGCACTCAATCTGCCCTGCTGCGTAACCTTCTAGGTGTAGGGTAGGCTTCTAGGTGCAGGCTCGGGGAAATCAGACAGACAAGTTCTCCTGGGCAAGAGGTGTTCATACACTCCAGGCTTCTATTAATCCAGAATAGGTTGTGCGAGGGAGAGGCAATGGAAGACAGAGGCATTTGAATGGGAAAGAGAGGAAGGGAAGCATGTAAGGGGTGAAGGGCTGTTGGAGGTGGGAAATTCTAACACTGGAAGGCCTTATAGAAACCCAGGAAGGGGCCACTCCTCTGATGTCAGGGCACCTTGCTCTGGGAAGCCAGGAACCAGTAGGTTCAGGGGGAAATATGGCAAACAACTGGCATTTTCACCCCACTCCACCCCTTGTTGTCTCCCAGCCAGTGCTAGATGTTTGGTGTGTGTCCTTCTATAACTTTAAAAATTATGTTTGCGGCCCTGGCTGGTTTCACTCAGTGGCTAGACTAGAGCGATGGCCCTCTGATGGAAGACTGACGTGTTCAATTCCCGGTCAAGGGCGCGTATCTTGGTTGCAGGTTCAATCTCTGACCCCAGTTGGGGCACGTGTGGGAAGCAACCAATCGATGTGTCTCCCTCACATCAATGCCTCTCTCTCTCTCTCTCTCTCTCTCTCTCTCTCTCTCTCTCTCTCTCTCCCCCCCCCCCCTTTCCTCTCACCCGCTCTGTCTGAAAATCAATGGGGAAAATATCCTCAGGTGTGGATTAAAAAAATAATGTTTGTTTACATATATGTATCCACAAACAGCATACAGGACTTGTAGGGGGATTTTTCATTTACAAATTGTAGCTTACTGTCTCATTTTTCGCCTTCCTTTACAGTCACCACAATGAGATAGGCAGGCTACTCCCTAGGCCCAGCTGGCAGGAAGCCAGGAACCCGTTAATTGCCCCAATGCTTTCCCCTCTTACAGCCAATTAGCTGCTATTCTGAAGGACACTGCTGCCTGGGAGCTGTGGACTGAAATTGTGTTCCCTTCACTCACACATTCAAGCTAACAAGAAAGACTGTCCTTTTGGTAACCCTCCCTCATCTAAATGCTAAAAAAAGCCCACCCTTGGGTGGAGATTTAACATGCTAATGAGACATGCGATGCATGAAGAAGCATGTAGTTTCACTGCACAAGCACCTAAGAGCTCCCACCTCTACATACTTAGATGTCACACTGAGATGTCATCTTTCCCACCTCAACTTCTTTAAAACCATTCCCCTGGCTTTTGATCGGAGAGGAGCAGCCATCTTTCCTCCCTTCGGACACTGTTTCCCTGCGACTGGCACATGAGCTTTGTAATAAACCTCTCGCCTGAGTACTTTGTGTGTGTGTGTGATGAGCTCTTTTGATTTCCATCACGGGAGTTCCCAAGAACCCCAGACACCAGTACCAAGGATGTGTTTGAAATCTAGTTAGTTACACAGCCTCGTTCATTCCTATCACTGCTGCATTTTAATCTACTGGATGACTATGCCCCATTGCATTCATCCATTTCCTTACTGATGGGACTTTAGATTGTTCCTAATTTTTCCTATCACCAGCGTCCTTGCACATGTGTCCTTATACACATCATTTACCTGTGTATCTCTAGGAGATGTATTGGCAATGGGTGTGCTGGGTCACAGATAGATGGGCATTTTAAAAAAAGGATTTTATCGATTTCAAAGAGGAAGGGAGTGGGAGAGAGAGACAGAAACATCAATGATGAGAGAGAATCATTGGTCGGCTGCCTCCTGCACAATCCACACTGGGGATTGAGCCCATAACCCGGGCATGTGCCCTGATCAGGAATTGAACCATGAGCTCTTAGTTCATAGGTCGACGCTCAACCACTGAGCCTCGCCGGCTGGGCCAGAATGGGCATTTGAAGTTGTAATACTTTCAGTTCAAGCCAAGGCCTTGATCCAACCCTTCTGCTGATATAATCCACAAGCTAAACGACCCTGGGCAAGCAGCAGCCCCTCTCTGTGGCTGTTTCCTCACCTATACATGGACATAACAGTACATTCTTCAATCATAGGACTCTTTCAGGGCTTAGTTAATATGTATCTACAGCATAGAGAAGAGTGCCAGGAGCTTGAGTGAATGTTGTATAATTTGATGTATAATTTCATACATTCTGCCCGATTACTTTGCCAACTGCCTGTCCCACTATACATGCCCACCAGTAGTGCAAAACCATCCGTTTCCTCACAACCTGGGGAAGTTTTGCAAGTCTGATGAGGGAAAAATGATTTGTCATTTTAGTTTGCATCTCCTGATGATCAATGACAAGCATTGGCGTTCTCTCCCTTTTGATTTAACTCAGGGATCCATAAACTATGGCCCCTGGCCTGAAGGCAGCCGGCCAGTAAATTGTATTAGAGCAGATTGGTCTACATACTGGCCAGGGCAGCTTTCCTGTGTTAACCTACACATAAAAGGCCTTTCAAAGTGAGAGGTAAGTAACATTTACTTGAGGTCAAAAGAATAGCTATCCAGGAAAGCTCTGATTCAGGCAGAAAACAGTGTTCCAATTAGGAGGCAAGGGGAGAGGGTATTTCTGAGAAAGGCGGGGGGACACTTACATCCACAGAAAGGCGGCGTTTCTCTTGGTGCGGATAACAAAACATGGTGATGTTTATGCTTAATGATGCTTTCACTTTTCAGCCCAGTAGTCATAATACCTGCTTTCTTGTTATCTTTGCAAACAGTTCTTTGGGACATCAGGTTGCCCTGGGCCCAGCCCAAAGGTAATTTTGCCCTGTTTTAACATTCTAAAGGTTTGAGGCAAAAGACAGGCAAGGAGGCTCCATTTTAAAGTGACCCCATTTATATTATATTTGACACCTGTATGACCCTTCACAGAAAAGCTTTCCAACCCTGCCTACTGCCTGTTTGCATCCTCTGGCCCAGCGGTTCTCAACCGTGGCTGCACATTAGAATCACCTGAGAGTCTTTTTTAAAATCCTGATTTCTGGGCCTCATCCTCCGGAAATTCTTTGTTACTAATGTTGTGGCCCCACCCCATAACAAAGAAACAGAATTTCCGGAGGATGAGGCCCAGAAATCAGGATTTTCAAGATTCCCAGGTGATTCTAATGTGCAGCCACGGTTGAGAACCGCTGCTCTGGCCCTTTGCCTAGTAGGCAGTCTCCTTTGGGAATAGAGGCTTGCGATTATTTTTCTGGCCTAGAATGCTTCCCATTCATCACTATATTCAGTCCTCACAAGCCCAGGAGGACTAAAACTTGCTACCTCAAGTTTGGGGTTGACAAACTGAGGCTCAGAAGCAGAGGCACCAGAGGAGGCACCCGAGGAGGCGGGGCTCGAGCTTTGGAACCTGGCGTTCAGCTCCCCTCCCCCAATAATCACCGCGGCCAAGGCTGATCTCCCAGCAACGCAGGGTCCCACCCTCGGCCCTCATTGGTTGGAGTCCTCAAAGGACTCCATGTTGTGCATGCTGATTGGTGGGCTGTGTAGATGTGCCCAACGGCTCTTCAGTTTCCGGAGCTTCGCAACCACTCCCAAAGGTTTCGAGGTCTGGAGGCGGTGACAGGCAGGACTTTTCCTGCCTGGCTGTCAAATCTCTGCACATGAGCTCCCCTCTTAATGATGAGGTGTCTACTCCGGAGAGCATCTTGACCCAGGCCATAGTGCGGGCAATGGTGGGAACGAGGACTTCCTGGGTGGCGGTTTCCAAGGAGTGGGAGGGGAGAACACCCCGAGTGTGTGTGTGGGGGTGTTGGGATGTTGGAGGTGGTGATGGCCTGGCTGAAGGGGTCCCTATGGGGTGGCAGGGATAATGGCAGCCCGGGCGGAGGGTGGCCTGGATGGAGGGTGGTGGGGGTGCCTTGAAAACTAAAAGAAAGTGACTAAAATAAATCTGAGTATCACTGTGGATCTCTAGGAGCCGTCCTCACCCAACCCGCCACCCCCAGACCCAGAGCCCTCTGACCTGTCATCGGATGAGTTCCCTGAGGCACAGCTAATGAGGGTAAGCATTTTGTTCAAAGGAGGAAGCCAAGCCAAGTCCAGTGGCTTGAAAGGTTCTAGAAAAACGTCCAGAAAGCGTGTCCTTGGTGGGCCAGGTGCCCATCTGTCCTCCATTCGTCGCACATCAGCTGCAATCATACAAAGGCAGTCTGCTAGAGAATTGGTTCTCTCTTCTCCCAACAAGTTATCAGCTAAGAAAATGCCAAGCATAGTCAGCGGGAAGAGACCGGAAAGGCCTAGTCTCCTGCTGCGATCCACACCTAGGAAGAAGGAGCCTCAGGAGAAGAAATCTCGAGTTGGCTGTGTCTCAAAAATTGTCCTGGGGAAAAACTCCGAGGCCTGTATCTCGGGAGGTCCCCTGGCACCAGCAACCTTCCCTCCAATCTCTGGCCCTCCACCTCCAGTGTTTGGGATTGTTAAGAATTGTTCCTTGGCCTCTATGGGGTCCAAACAGCCCAAGCCTAATTCCAGGAAGAAATCAGTGATGATTAGGCCGAAGGAGTCCGAACTGGTGGCCCAGGAGGATACCAACCTAAATAAAGAGGCTGCCCCTAAGGGCCAAGTGAGTAGTCCATCTTCCCCTTTCCCTTCCCCATCTATACCCGTAACACAAACAGCTTTTCACCTGCCCTTCTATCCTTTGAGGTTGTCGGTAGGATGTCAAGTTGGGGGCCATTTTAATAGGATCAAATGCTTAATATGTGTCCAATGCTGTTTTTGAACAGAGAAGGGCTGGGAAGGGGCATGGTGAAGGCGTGGCTTGGAGGGGTGGGCGTGGCTAAGGCATGGCTGGGAGGGAGGGGCATGGTGAAGGCGTGGCTTGGGGAGGGGCGTGGCTAAGGCGGGGCTGAAATGGAGGGGCCTGGTGAAGGCGGGGCTGGAATGGAGGGGTGGTCTGAAGGCGGGGCTGGGAGAGAGGGGGTGTGGAGTAGGCGGGGCTGGGAAGGAGTGTCGTGGAGGGAGGGGGCTGAATGGGAGGGAGCTTGAAGAGGGAGGGGCTGGGAAGGAGGGGGCTGAAGTTAGGTTTTTTTGTGTGTGTTTTTTTTAATATATTTTATTGATTTTTTACAGAGAGGAAGGGAGAGAGAGATAGAGAGTTAGAAACATCGATGAGAGAGAAACATCGATCAGCTGCCTCCTGCACATCTCCTACTGGGGATGTGCCCGAAACCCAGGTACATGCCCTTGACCGGAATCGAACCTGGGACCTTTCAGTCCGCAGGCCGACGCTCTATCCACTGAGCCAAACCGGTTTCGGCTGAAGTTAGGTTTTTATTTCTCAACTATTCCCTGCCTTACCCCAGCTCCTACACACACACACACACACACACACACACACACACACACACACACACCCTCACCAGTCAGAAATGTGTGTTTTAGGTTTCAGCAAACAGGCCATCTCGCCTGTCAGTGCATTTTGGAGACTACAGCAGTGGAGACCCCAAGATCAAAACCTTTCCAGTTGCAGGACATGTACAGCTTTTGTCTATATCCCAAGAAGGAGCCAAGTCCAGAGTGCGCCCACCCTCAGGTTGAGTCTAGAGGGTTTGGCTTATGGGGAGGGGGATTTGGAGGGAAAACTATGGCTCTTCCCCTCTCAGGACCTGGGTCTGGCTCCCAAGCCTCTCTACCTACCCATACAGGTCTCCCCAGGGAAACTAACTAGGGCTGGCCTGAAGCCATGGCTCCTGAGAAAGTCACTCTGGAGAGAAAGGCACAAATGCTGGACAGAGCAGAGGCAACTTGTCCACATAGGGAGATTCTGCCTTACCATACATCCTGCTGGGCCCTTCCTGCCTCTCTCCTGGGCTTGGGAGCTGGATGTTGTGTTCTCTTTCAGGTAACCAGGGGCCACTTCTCCATCTACGACAGCAGGAAGAGAAGCAACCACTACCTGGAGCACAGGACTGCCCTCAAGTAATGCTCTGTAGTCTAGGCAGCAGGTTTACATCCAGATTAAACAGACTTACATTGTCCCCCCTCCCACCACTATGGAGGGAGGCTACCTTCTTCCCACTGAAGGTCCTATTTCAGTCTAGGCACTGGGCTTTGGGATGTGGGGTAGGCGCTGGAGAGGGAGTGAGCAGAGGAAGGAGGCAAGAATACACTAACAATTTCTTTCTCTCCTGCTTGCTGGGTTAGTGTCCTGTGCTCCAGAGGGAGATCGATGAACTGAAAAACCAACTTGGTATGACCAAGCTCTGGCTGGGGCAGGGGAATACCAGGGCATCCTAGTGCAGAACATGGGGTGGTATGGGGCTGGGAGTGTAGGGCGCTGCCCAGAGATCACTGTTCCTGTGGGAAGGAGACTCTGGCAGACATGGACTTGGAACCTTCTGTGCATCTCTTCTCTTCTCTTCTCTTCTCTTCTCTTCTCTTCTCTTCTCTTCTCTTCTCTTCTCTTCTCTTCTCTTCTCTTCTCCTCTCCTCTCCTCTCCCCTCCCCTCCCCTCCCCTCCCCTCCCCTCCTCTCTTCTCCTCTCCTCTCCTCTCTTCTCTTCTCTTCTTTCTCCCTCCTCCTCCTCCTCCTCCTCCTCTTCCTCTTCCTCTTCCTTTTCTTTTCTTTTCTTTTCTTTTCTTTTCTTTTCTTTTCTTTCTTCTTCTTCTTCTTCTTCTTCTTCTTCCTTCTCCTTCTCCTTCTCCTTCTCCTTCTCCTTCTCCTTCTCCTTCTCCTTCTCCTTCTCCTTCTCCTTCTCCTTCTCCTTCTCCTTCTCCTTCTCCTTCTCCTTCTCCTTCTCCTTCTCCTTCTCTTCTCCTTCTCCTTCTCCTCTCTCTCTCCCTCTCTCTCTCATCTTTCTATCACATCTCCATGGAGAAATATATTATATGAGTCACACTTTGTCACTTTGCCAACAAGTGCTAGAGCTGTTCTTATTTCTGTTCATTTGGAGAGACCACATTTATTTTCTCTTTAACTGCTGCTTGGCAGGGAGTGTACATGTCCTCACCGGTTCTGAATGATCCTGATACATGCCACATTTTGAGAACTGCTCATACCTGTGTTCCCATTTAGAAAACATATCTACCTTTTACTGGAGTGATGGGGTGGGGGGTCAGTCCGGGAGCCGACTGGTTTGGATAGGGGGCTCAGGTTGCAGGGTTAGGCCCGTCCCATGGGGACAAGGGTCAGGGGTTCTGTGTCGCTGTGCCTGGAGTGTCTGACTATGCTTTTCTCTGTTTCAGTCACCATGCAGTGCCTCATCAACAAATTCCAACAGTTTTGATGTGAGTGGTCCATCCCCCCTCCCACAGTCTCAGTCTGGGAGGACTGAGTCTGGCCCTGGCTGGAGGCTCCTCCCTGACTCTGCTCTTTCTCAGTGTTACACAGTAACACCCCCCCCCCCACACACACACACAGAAGCAGCTTTACCTGTTGAACCCAGGACTTAGAGCCACACGGGTTCCCCTGTTCTCTTTGCCCAGTTCTCATCAGATGGGCCCACTGTGCCCTCTTTCCTGAGGTTTAGCACATCTTTTGTCCCATTTGTTGCAGTTTTATTTTTTATCTTACTATTTTTTAATCCTCACCTGAAGATATTCCTATTGATTTTAGAGAGAGGGGAGGGAGGGAAGGAGGGAAACACTGATGTGAGAGAGAACATCAATTGATTACCTTCTGTATGGGGCCCCAACCAGAGATCAGACATGCCCCAAACTTGGGATCAAACCCACAACTTAGGTAAGTACCCTGAATGGGAATCCAACCCACAACCTTGTGGTATACAGGACGATGCTCCAACCAACTGAGCCACACCAGCCAGGGCTGTTTGTTGCCGTTTTAAATTAAAGTACTTCTCACCCTGGACAGGTAGCTCACTTTGATTAGTGTCATCCAGATACGTTGCAGGCTCAAGCCCCAGTCGAGGCACAAGAATCAACCAACAAACACGTGGATGCAGTGAACAACAGATCGATTTCTCTCCTTTTCTCTCACTTACTCCCTTCCCCTCTTCCTCTCTTTAAAATAAGAAAAAATAAAGTATTTCTCAGATCCTATGGTCTGCTTCTCTCTGGGAGAGGTTTGGAATGGGAATGGGCCGCTCTGCCCCTCTAAGCACTGCATCATCCCTCTCTCTGAGGTCGCATCACCACCCTCACCTCCCTCTCAGCAGAAGCAAATCCTTCTCCCAGAGGTCCAGCCTCTTTCCCTCTCCTCATTCAGAGCATCATCCTAGTTCTCCCTGCTCTCCCCTTCTTTTCTTCCATGTGTCGGTCAGCTTCTCCTCCATGGTCATTTCAGCAGCCATTGCAGAACACCACTGACTCATCTTCTCCCTTCCCAGGCCCAGTCCTCTTTCTGGATTCATTACCTCCCGCTGGTACCACTACTTGCACGACAACTTCAGCCAGAGCCTCCACATCGTCCTCATTTCCTCTTTTGCCCTCGCTTGTCACTTGTCTCACCTTAGTTTCAGTAGAGGTGTAAATACAAGTTACAGCATAGCGAGATGGGGAACAAAAAGGGGGACATAAATCTGTTCTGCTGACTCTGGGCCAACTTGGAGAACAGCTTAAATAGAAATGGATGGTTAACGGGTCAGGGATTTCATATCATTTCTATCCCTGCCACCACCAGTCTTGGCTCAGGCCCCACCCTGTCACCCCATCAGGGCCCCCATGTTACCCATCACTGCCCCATGAATGTCAGTTATGCTGCCCGCTGCCTCCGTGCCCATGGGCCTGGACCCGCACATCTGTGTGCTGACACCAGCCTATCTCCTTTGCTCACACACAAGCTCCATTTTCCCATCAGACTTCACTTATACAACAGAAGATCAGCTATAAAATGATGAATTTCAGACAACAGCAACAGCATTGAACCACACACGAGGTGAGGGGGCTTCTGATACCAGGGCCCCATGCAAAGACTGCACACCACATGCAGAAGGACAGCCCTGGTCACATCTAATGGAACCTACCGATGTACAGAGATTTGATTCATTGGTGTTATATATAGGGAATATGCTTTTATTTGGGTTATCTATCTTTCTCAATAAAACTGCTTGATTTTCATTATCTTGAAAGCTTTGTCAGAGCTGAAAAGTAGATTCTTTCTACATTTTCCCATACAGGAAAAATATCTTCATGAACTTTTAAAAACTTTTAAAAATCGGATTTAAACCAATTTCCAGAAGGGAAATGTGCAGCTTATGGTTAATTAGGGGAACAGGATAGTCTTCCATCTACACTAATAAGAGACAAATATGTAAATTGACCATACCTTCACGACACCCAACAGCCAATCAGGAGTGAGTATGCAAGTTAATCCGACAAAGATGGCGGGCCTGTGGGCAGCTGCGCACACACAGGTGCCGAGTGGCTGGGGCGGGGGTGTGTGCAGCAATACAGGCATTCCACACCACCCCCCAGCCACTCTGGGCCTCTGGGCAGCATGGGAAGGTGGAAAGGCAGTTCCAGGCTGGAGCAAAGGCAGAAAGGCAGCTCTGGGCCAGAGTGAAGGTGGTGCTGGCAGCCAGGGGAAGGAAGGCCCATTCTTTTTTTTTTTAATATATTTTTTATTGATTAAGATATTACATATGTGTCCTTGTCCCCACGTTACCCTCTACCCCCCCAACCCCCCCCCGCTCATGCCCTCACCCCCCCGTTGTCCATGTCCATTGATTAGGCCTATATGCTTGCATATAAGTCCTTTGGTTGATCTTTCCCCCTTACCCCCACCCTCCCCTACCTTCCCTCCAAGTCCCGACAGTCCAATCAATGCCTCTCCATTTCTGGATCAGTCCTTGTTCATCAGTTTATGTTGTTCATTATATTCCACAAATGAGTGAGATCCTGTGGTATTTATCCGCTCTCCAGTTCCATCCATGCTGTGGCAAATGGTAAGAGTTCCTTTTTCTTCTTCCTCTTCTCAAAGAATACCTTTCAGCATTTCATATAATGCTGGTTTGGTGGTGATGAACTCCTTTAGCTTTTTCTTATCCATGAAGCTCTTTATCTGACCTTCAATTCTGAATGATAGCTTTGCTGGATAAAGTAATCTTGGTTGCAGGTTCTTGCTATTCATCACTTTGAATATTTCTTGCCACTCTCTTCTGGCCTGCATGGTTTCTGTTGAGAAATCAGCTGACAGTCGTATGGGTACTCCCTTGTAGGTAACTGAGTTTCTTTCTCTTGCTGCTTTTAAGATTCTCCCTTTATCTTTTGCTCTTGGCATTTTAATTATGATGTGTCTTGGTGTGGTCCTCTTTGGATTCCTTTTGTTTGGGGTTCTCTGCGCTTCCTGGACTTGTAAGTCCATTTCTTTCACCAGGTAGGGGAAGTTTTCTGTCATTATTTCTTCAAAAAGGTTTTCAATATCTTGCCCTCTCTCTCCTTCTGGTACCCCTATAATTCTGATGTTGGTACGCTTGAAGTTGTCCCAGAGGTTCCTTACACTATCTTCATATTTTTGGAATCTCTTTTCTTTTTTCTTTTTCGGTTGGGTATTTTTTGTTTCTTTGTATTTCAAATCTTTGACTTGATTCTTGGGATCCTCTTGTCTGCTGCTGGATCTCTGTAAATTATTCTTTATTTCAG